ATCATAAGCATCTTACATATAAATAGTTAGACTTTATTAAAGAACTATTGTGGCTTGAACTAGCCCAGAAAATTAATAAATAAACTTCAACAAAATTAAAAATTGGGTCATGTTCAAACAAGGCTCGAGCTCAATAAGAAAATAAACAAATAAAACATGAACAAGGTAGTGCTACACTCATTTACAACCCTAGAGAAAAGTAAAAATGTACACTTCAATTTTAAACATTAAAAAAAAAAGATAACAAGATAAAAGAAAATTATCTCCATCTACACTTTATTTTTGTTCAAGTAGAAAACTCAATAAGATTGTGCCCTGATGAAAGAATTCATCAAAATCATAATTATCCTTATCCAAACTATTTGAATGCATCTTCTGAATTCTCCTCCTCCACCACTCATATTTTTGGATGGTTTGAATCCAAGTGAAAATAAATGATGAGGGGCTGAAAATCTCACATCAACGGCTCTTGAATCATATCAAGCTAAGAATTCTTTATATTTCATTTCATTCTATCAAAAGAAAAATTTAGATACTTGAGCCTTATTCTTCTTATAAATACTTGGGCAACATGTTTAGCGACATTACCACCTAACGTTGGTGTGGAGGTAAGTTACACGAAGAATGTTTCCATGCATTTAGTTTGAATAATATCAAAAAATTGTTTGCTTTTATATCAAATAACACCTATAAAGCAGCAAAAGAGTGCTTACATGTTTGGCCTCCCCGCCACAAAACTACTTTGTCAAATTATCCAAAATTGTATGTCGTATGGTCTAATTTATTTTCGAGCATATGCTACAGCATGTCACAAAGTGCCAAGAGCTAAGAAACTAATTGGTTGACCTATATTGGTCATAACATTTGATCTTTTGCATGCTTTAAGTCAATGTTTAAAATTGCGTAATTAAGCCTCGAGGCAGTTTTCGTCCGTGAGGTGAGGCGTAAGCCTCGAGGCGGTCTGAGGCGTAAGCCTCACGGACACAGAATTACGTAAATGAGAAATTAAGGATTTTAGCAGGAAAATAATAGCAATATTCTATCTTACAATAAAAACATCTAAATGATATATGAAAATAGTGGAAAGTAAGAAAGTAGATGCAATAAAAGCATATCCTAAAGTACAAAATCATAAAATATTAGTTTAACAAAACTCCCAAAGTATAAAGAACATATAAAATGCAATCATATCCCATCACTAAATGGGTCTTCAAGGGAATCTTCTTCTCCAGTTGTATCTATGAATGTCATATCATCATCATCTTCAATATGACTCACTTTTCTCTTCCATGTTTAATAAGAGAAAAGATCATTATCATGTTAATTGCTCACTTGATATAAATATAATGCAATAGCATATAAGAAGTTGTAGAATACCTTTACTTGATTGTTGTGATGTAGAGCTAGTGGATGTGTGTGGTGTGGTACTAGTGGATGTGCCCACTTGATCTGCTTCGCCCCTCAAGACATCCACACTTAGATCTTCTAGCTGTAAGTCTGATAATGGCAAATCTGTCTCATCATCTATGAACCGCTCATTATCAGATGACACATCATCACACACCAACAGATCCTCATCATCCTTCAACCCCTTATTCCTCAACCTCATATCTCTTAACCTCTTGTTGTGCATAATATATACGAGGGAGTTCATTCTGAGTGTTGATAACCGATTTCTTCTCTTTGTTTGGACTTGACTATATGTACTTCAGTTTCGCTTACACCTAGAAGAAGAACAAGTGAGGCCCAACACTCTTACAGCAAAACTATATGTAATCAAGTGATCTGACATAATGGTAACACTAGTCTCAATCCATGTCCTTTTAATCTCATCAATGCTCCGCTCTGTGTTCTGCAGCTCCTTTAAAATCCATGTTCACAACTCATACATGGAAAGTGTCTTCAACCCTCTCTCATACAACCCTACAGACCGCAACATATTGAAGTAGGCAGGCGACGTAGCAACATTAAATGGTATGGCATTTTCAAAAAAAAAAATCTGCCAACATCCATGCAAACCTGGCGTCGACCCTCTCTAGTACCAGCCGCAGGCATCATTTGTGCTTGTCTTCTATCCTCTTCTGGATTTGTCATATACTGATCCATAGGACCCCGTGCACCTCTATTATGTATAGTGGAGGAAGAGCTCTTTCCACTCTCGCTCCCGAAGAAAGCACCATGTTCGACCCTATTATCAAATTGCTCCTGTTGTAAGTGTTTTGCCGTCGTACTTTTCTTCATATAAGCAATAATTTCATCATTCACCTTCTCCGGCACATTTGTACACGGTGCTACATTTTTGTGAGAGCATAATAAGTGCTCCTTCATGCAGGTAACTCCTCCCTTCACCACTTTTTCGCAAAAATTGCATTTCAAATAAACATAACTCTTCTCTCTGCCGCCTATGTCAACTTGTACACTATATTTCCAAGAAGGGTCCCTCCGCAATGACATATTCCTCTTTTCCTTGCCTCTAGTCATGTTCCCTAATGCAAAAATCCAAAATCACACAAAATAATTCAAAAAATCAAAAACCCTATATTTTCTTTAACTTGAAAAATCTAACCAAAAACTAAATAAAAATACCTAAAATCGATTGTGGACTTCTCCTAGAAGGCGGCCGGACACTTCAAGTTCGCCGGAGAGAGGCGGCGCCGGCAAGAGAGGCGGCGGGACTGGAGGCCGACCGTGCGGGATCCTCTGGTTTCGCGAACAGCGGCTTGCGGGAGGGGAAATTTCGGGAAAATCCTGGAGCCGAACGGGTAGTAGGGGAAAAATGACTCATTTTAAGTAGGTGGGGCCATTTGGATGAGGCGTACGCCTCACCTATAATTACGCAATTGAGGTGCGCCTCAAGCAAGGTGAGGCGTACGCCTCTTCCAGGATGAGAATTGCGTAAGCCTCGAGGCGTTTTGGGGGAGAATTGCGTAGAGGCGCGTCTCAAGGCGCGCCTCTTGTTGCGCAATTTTAAACAGAGCTTTAAGTTTAGATATAATATCATCATTTTCAATCTTATTTCTAATCTTATAATACCCAGTTTCGCCTTTTTTTTCTTCAGATTTGGAGGCAAGGTAGTTGAGAATATTTTTGCCCAGCCTGAGGTGTATCCTATCTCCAAGTTGGTGCCAGTGAAAGAATTAGTACATAAGATGGGGAGTCACTTGGTGGTACGATGCCAATTTGTTGTAACAACTAACTCAAGTGGAAAAGGCACCCACATTGGTAACATGTGTGGGCTATTCTTCAGTAATGTTGCAATAGGAGAAGAAAAGGGAGAGTTCAAGTGTGCTTGCATTGGGTTCCTCTAGTCTATTGCTCTTTGGGGGTGAATTTTTGTATCATGATCAGCCTATTAGAACAACTGAGCATCTAGAATCTCATTTTCCTTGTTTAATCAATATTCTATAGGTCGTGAAACATGAACACTTCGAGATGATGGTTGTGTTGTCTTAAAACTCAAACATTCAAGAAATTTTGTTGGATGTACTAATTGTTGTGCCACATATTTTATCTTTCATCAAAAAAAACCTGACACTTCTCAAACACAATGGAGAAGTGTGTCATACGCATATTGGACACAATTCATAACACGCTAACTCGAATATATTCCAATCAATTTTGTTTAGATTCCCACTCAAATTCTTCCTTACAATTCAAAGTCGATGCAATTTTCACTTAATTGATTCCCATTGTGTTGATTCTCACTTTTACTCTTTATATCTTTTACGCTATCATAATATCCGTGTTACGTGGCATAATCCTAAGCTTTATATGCTTAGCAAGATGATCAGAGCTCATGTTAATGCATATACAATACCACTTTGAATTATTGAGCTTATATACATGCATACTCAATCCCTTTTCTCAGATGTATCATGTCCTACAATTCCTAATGCCATTCGTGTTCCCTTTCTTATGTCATTGTCATGTCTATATACCTAGTCATGTGGTGCTCAATAGTATAAGGCTAGCACCAAAATTTTCTTTAACCTCCAATGAATGATCTTCAGTCAACATTGCGATGGTCAACTTGTTGAGGTAATTTTGCCTTTGCAGGACAATAGGCCCTTAGATAGTCAAGTGCAGGGCTTAACAGCATCTAAGAGGCAAATCCCTCATATGTGAAAAAATAAACTTTTGCTTCTACTAATTTGCGAACTATATATTTATTATCATGATCATAAAATAGTGAATAGTTATTACATGAATTTAAGGGCCTTTTGGATTGGGGCTTAAGTTAAACTCTGCTAGGGTGATAGCATGTTTAAACAAAGAGTGGAGTTAAGCAGTTTAGTTGATAAAAAATACAAGCTAGTGTAATTTAAGTTGAACAAACTTTTTGGTTGCATTTTAACTTGTCGATTTCTTTGATATATCATGGTGTTCTAATATAGCATAATCATGAGTTGATTTAGTATCATAACTTAATTATGATTATAAAATTAATGAAGATTAAATTTACTTCCATTTAAATTTACTTATTTATGAAAATATGAGCTTAGTTATTTTAAAAATATAATCTGTGAGATGATAAACTTAATCATTTAAGATGATTATATTATTTTCATGAACTTTAAATGTACTTAATTATCATGAGAGGTAAGATCAAGCGCTTAACCTTAAACTCTTCATCCATTAACTTATCTTTTGGCCCACTTAAGCCATTAGGCAACATAAGATAGGCTAAATTTTTGTTAGGCTTGAAGGATATTAAACTGGGTTGTTCAATTTGGTTCAAAATTGTCTAGCTTAAGCTTAACTTAAGAAACAACCAAGCAGCCCTATATGAATTTAGTTTATTAGAGGCAGCTGGATCCTCTCCATAATGATATATTTATTAAAATAAGTAAAATTAGTATCTGAACGGTCTAAAAACGTCCACTTTCTCCAAAATCACAGAAAATTGAGATGCAGAAAATAAGAAGGGCTTAACATTGATAATTGATCATTTTACCACCAAATAGTATTACTAGAAAACCAAAATGACAAGCTTGAATTACCTCCAAAACCACAAGCTTTTTTCCCTCCTGCACATAAACAAAATTAACAAGAGAACAATTTGATGCGTCAGGTAAAATCTATGATGGAAAAACTATACATGCAAACCACCTTAAAGCAAACTATATACAAAGTTTTTTTTAGATGAACCTCGAAATAACGACCCCATTCCTTATCCAAGTAGTGCCGATCCTTGAAAAACTAATCACACCAAATTTACGCAGGTCCATCAACATGATTTTGGCAATCCAAAGCTTGATATCTGAATTGATAACTAATCACACACCTTGTTCTTGTGACGCTTATAAAATAAATCCCAGTACTTCTTGGCCTCCTTCTCGTACTTCTCTATAAAATCAGATGCAATGATTCAACCGACGGAGTCCATTATTCAAGGGTTTCAGATTAAAGCTACTAACCTTTCCAGAAAGGCGTGACTTGCCTTCCCGATGATGAAGAAGAGGTCAGGTAGATCTGCATCTTCTTCACCTCCGTCGAACCCGAAGCGTCTATGGCCGCCAGCGCCTCTCTGCAATTTCTGCTGTATCTCAACCCAAAAGACTCAAGCGAACCTGCCCGTCCTCTTTATGGCCAACTTAAACCATCGGATTGGGTAATTTTTCTTTTTAAACTCATAACTCACGAAATTAATTAAAAAAAATTGGGAAATAAATCAAAAAAATCACAATTAAAAACTCTCGCACAAATAATTAAGGACCTTTCAAATATGAAGCTGCATGAAACTTTCCGTTCACGAGAAATTATTCTGTCTGAAGTCCGGGTTGTGAATGTACACACTATGTACAAACATAATGTACACAATATGTATACTTACAGTCCAGATGGTTCCTTCCTGTCAGGACTCTGTATGGAATAATTTCTCCCTCTTCACATCATCCTCTCCTCTCCAAAGATCAATTTTCGAGTGTGATTGGTCAGAGGTAAAATTTCATGGCAAAGTACTTATCTTTATCTCCAACTATATTATTGAAATTATACCTTTGATAATTTATATTTTAAAAATAAAATTCAACCAAGTTTATAGCATATATAGAGTAAGGTTTAAATAAAGTTTAAACCTTGCTTACTACGACACTTTTAGTTTTCCTTTGGGACGCAAAGGACGGCTTTCTTATTATTTCTTAAAGCAATTTTTTAGTTAAAAAATTAAAATTTTTGTACTAAAAAGTTGCTTCAAGAAGAAATAAGAAAGTCATCCCAAATAAAGCCTTAGTCAAAACCAACATTGATGATTTGAATAAAAAAGATTTGATTATAAGTAATGAATGTGAATATCTATAAAACAATGAAGTATATAAATAAAGTATCGAATAGTTTTTTGGATCATGCTAGTCAATTTTTTATATGAAAGTACTTACTTGACCTACATTTTCCGCTCAAAACCAACAATTCCATAGAAATGTCATATAATGCATGCAAACTTTTGTCGTATTTATCATTAGTCATCACCTTGCATATTGGCCCTAAGAAAATCATTGATAAAATTTGGACAATCCAACATAGAAATTATCAATGGGCCCTCAATCTCAAAGTTGAACTTTATAGTATCAAAATTCAGGAACCGTCTCATTTTCTATTGAGACTCATCTTATCAATTTTTTTGGCTCACAAAATAAGTCATCATAATATGTTAACCTATATCATATTACATGAGTTTTCATTTGATTCTTTCAGCTTGACACCATTATCATTTGATATTTTAAATTACTTAGCATTGATATTCTTCTATTCTACCTTTCTCTTCTCCTTTTCTTTATTGATTTTTCCCCCTTCTTCTACTTGTTATAATTACTATTACTAATCTCTATTCCAACTTATACGCATTTCCCCTCTTCCATCTGTTGATATGCTTTTTGCTCCAGACTAGGTCAAGAAGTGTACCTGGTCAAGTTTGACCAGGCTAGACCCCAGGACCCATCCCACTGGGTCCAGGGAGTCAAGCCAAGTCTGTTGAGCCCAGACTAGGTCCTGGGTCAACCTGGGTCAATCAGGGTTGACCCAATTTGACCCTGACTCCTTCTGATTGGTCTTAAATCAATTTCAGAGCTCCTTGGCTCGATATCTTCCCTCCACTAGACTCAATGGGTCAGACCCAGACCATTGGGCCCATACTTGGGCCCTGGGTCAACATATGTTGACCCATTTGGACCCTTTAGGCCTAAAATCAATTCTAAATTAATTCCATGGCTTCTTAGGCTTGATCCCCATCCCCCATTGGCCCATTTGACTGGTTTGACCAATTCAAACTCTGACTTGGTCAAACCAAGCCCTTAATAGGTCAATATGACCTATTTAAGCCTATTTAAGACCTAATTAAGGCATTCAAAGCCCCATTAATGATCTAAAATTGAAAATTCAATGGAATCAATGGAATTTCCCTCCCAATCACCTCTGGATTCAATCCTATCCATCCCTTTATTGATTAGGAGTTTAAATAGTGAAAAATAGGGCTTCTTTTGGATCTTTTTGAGATTACTCAAGCCCTAGCCTCCCTAAGCTCGAGACCTCTTGTACCCGAGCTCCCATAGCCTCTCTTCACCCTTCCCGATCAAACCCGACGGCCAGGACCTCACCGGCGGCAATATTCCAGCGAGACCGAGAGCAAATCTCTTCCAAGACGATTTCCCGTCGATCGAAGGCCATTCGAAGCTCGACTTCAACTAAGGAAATACCCGTGGACAATCTCCAAGCTCAGAGAACCCAAGATTTTTTGGATCCACCGTATGGATTGAGGTAAAACCTAAACCATAGATAGAACACTTATATCTAAATAGATTTTTATATACTGTGTTTTAGATCGTAATAAAGAGCACCCATGAATGCTCTTCATAGGTAGAATCCACGTTTAAAATTTTGTATGATTTGGTTTAGCCGATCGAGAGAATGAGGCGAATTATCATTTTTATTCTTCGGTGTTCGCCCTAGGTCTCCTGTGCGAGATCCCCGCCGTCGATCGCGTGATCAACGGTGGAGATTCGATCATTCCTTGATCTTGTTCGGACTGTGGGATTGACCCCGCTGACCTATTCTCGATCCAGCTCGATCAGGGCTGCTGATCCAAAATCGCGCGGATCCAACGGCTTCTAAGCTGTGCCGACGTGGTTAAGTGATGCCACGCATCTAACCGCCGCCTCCGGGACCACGGGAACCAATCCGAAACTGCCACATGGCCACCCAGCCGGCGCCTCCATGCGGTTCGAGCCCGTAAACCCGCGTGTGCCACACGTCCGTTTGGCCGCCTCCATTTACATTAAATTTTTTAATTAGTTTTAATTATATTTTAAAGCCAAATTCCTTTAAATAATTATTATAAATTATATTTAAATACAAAAATTAAGTATAATATATCAAAATTTTCAGAAAAATTATTCTTTTTATTTTAAAATTAATTTCATTTAAAAATAAAGTGTTTTTTTAATAATTATAAAAACAATAAAATATGTTATTTTTTGTATTATTATTTTTATTGTTATAATTATTTTTAATTGTAATTTTATTATTACTATTATTATGTTAATCAAAATTAAGTTAATTATTATTAATTTTATTATTTTTTTACAGAGACTTTACTTTATTATTATTATTATTATTATTTTAATCTAAAAGGATATTTTTCTTTATTGTTATTTTATGTTATTTTTTTATTTTAGACTTTATCCATTATTTGTTATTTATTTTTTTAAGTTATGTTATTTTAATCATAATCAATATAGTTATATTATTATGTTTTAATTTAACTATTATTATTTTAACTTTATCATTGTGATTATTTCTTATTATAAATTATGATTATTTTAATTTTCTATTATTATTTATTTCATTTTATTATAATATATCCTTATTATTATTAGTCTTATTATTTTAAAGTATTTTAACTATTATAGTTTATCTTTATTATTATTGTATTTTAATTACTTTAAAATTTCTAAAAAAACTTTTCATTATTTTTAACTTTACTCTATTTATTAGTCATTTTTAAATATTAATTATTTTAAATTGTTTTAAATCCCTTTCTAGCATTAATCTTCAAATCATATCTAATTCGTTTTAAATTGGATTTCGATGTACAACCCCTCGAATCTTTTTAAAAAAATATGTACTTTTATTTAAAATTCTTTTTCGACAGCAATTTACCCTTTTATGGCAGATTTCTATTTTATTTTAATTATTTGATTATTAGGATATTATTTACGTAATTATTATAGTAGTTATTTTAAATTTAAAATTATTTTAAAACACCTTTTTGAAACCTCGTTTGGGTGGTCAGTGGGTCTCCCATATATTTATTTACTAAAAATTAATTTATTTTAAATTACCTTATTTTCCAAAATCTATATATTTATATAAGTATTTTTAAATTATTTTAAAATTACTTATATATTAAATCTTAATTTTGGGGGATCCACTATTTATGAAATTTTAAACACATATTTTACATGAGAAGAGCAATCATGGGGGAGTAGATTAGTGAATGGTTGAGTTCCAATCATTCACTAATCACCTCCTTTAGTGTACTTTTCTTTCTTTTATTGTACCTTGCATGCGTAGGATGCACCACCACTTAGTTTAGGCTCTCCTAGATCTAAGGATATGGCGTGTTTACTATTTTTGTGTGTTACCATGCATTGTAAACCCAAGGGTTAGTGTGAACTTCAGGTTAAATTCCTATAATGTAGTGACACCCTAAGGACAATAATTAAGGAACTGTCTAGTGAACTTAGAAAATTTGTAGGAGCTATGATAGATTACTGATTAATATGAAAACTTCATAATTTAAACTAAGTTATATCATAAATATTCCAAAATTTTCTAGAAATTTTTAGAGCTCTTTAGATCCCTTAATTAACCAACCCTAATTTACCTGCTAAATAGGGCTCAGTAGCCTTCTAAAAATTACAATAAATCCATTTTGACTGATAAAATTACCTACCATACCTCAAATTGTCCAGAATTTAGTCTCTAACCTGAGATAAATAGTGCTCCTTAGGTGGACCTTCGGCTGACTCCTAGCTTAGACTTAATTAGAAATTACCTTTTTGTCCCTAATAAATTATTAAAAATTATTAAAAATTCCAAATTTTTCCCAAACACTTGGGAACACCTCCTTAGGTCATTACTGACTTTTGGGGGTGATTCCAATTATTTTGGAGCTGGTTTGGATCAAAACCAAAAAATAGCCCCTTGATTAGATAATTTAGATAATTCACATAATTGTCTAAATTTTAGAAATTCATAACTAATTACAAAAAATTCCAAATTGGTTAAACTCAATTTCATTCAACTCCAATTAGGGTCTAGTATTTATTAAAAATATTATGATTCCAGAAACTAGCCTAAATTAGAAAGTCAACTTTCTGGTCAACCCTAGCCTATAGTCTAAGGCCCAAAACTTGAAAAATTCATAACTTTGCCTAGAAAATTCTAAATCTAGCAAACTACCTGGCTAACTACGCATCTTAAGGTCTAGTATTTTTCTAAAATGTTATGAATCTCAAACCTAGCTTATTTCCCATAGTGACTTTTTGGACCCCCTCAGCCTAAGATCTAGGAGGACCAGGGACTTTCCA